TCCTTAATCTTATACAGCCATTTACACTGAATAATTTTTTTATTTTTAGGTTTAGGAACAAGGGACCGAGTCCCATTTACCTTTAGGGAATTCATTTCTATCATTGCTTGCCACCATTTGTGCTTGTCCTTTAAAGTAATTGTTTCTGAGTATGACTCTGGTTCTGTCCTCAGTACTTCAGTTCCTGCCAGTAGGGCAATATAGATCAGCTCTGCATATGAGTACCTTGCTGGAGGCCTAATCTCTCTTCTAGTCCTGTCCCTTGCTAGTTGATATTCTTGCAGCTCATCTAGCAAGGGATCTTGGGCCTCATCTATTTCACCCTCATGTTGGTCAGGTCCATCAGGTGTTGTTGCTTCTTCTGGTATAGGATTATCTTCAGTCTGGGTGTCCTCTAGTTGCCTGATGGTTGCCTTCACCTCAATTGGTGTAGTGACTGGTTGACCTGGTTGGGTTACATTGTTGCTTGGAGAACCTGCATCAATGTTAGCAAACTTGCAGGGGAAATCCCCTTCATTACAGATTACATCTATGCTAATAATGATCTTTACCCCTGGTGCAATTCTATCCCATAACCTATAACCTTCAGTACTCTCTTGATATCCTAAAAGTATACACTTTATGGACCTAGGCTCTAGTTTCCCATCACTTGTGTGTGCATATGCAGCACATCCAAACACCCTTAGGTGACTTAGATTTAAGTCTCTTCCTGACCATTTAGACTCAGGACAGTTGAATCATATGGAGCTGTTAGGGCTTCTGTTTATTAAATAGGCAGCAGTGGTCAATGCTTCTCCCCAAAAGGTTTTTGGAAGGCCTGAAGTGAACAGTAGGCACTTGACTTTCTCTAACAAGGTTCTGTTCATTCTCTCAGCAACTCCATTTTGCTAATGGGTTTTCCTAACTTTCCTATACCTTAAGATACCTGGTCCCTACAGTAGTTATCAAATTCCATATTGCAAAACTCCAGTCCATTGTCTATTCTTAAGGCTTTCACTTTTCTGTCTATTTGATTTTCCACTAGTGTTTTCCAGTTTTTAAACTTAGACAATGCCTCATCTTTGGACTTCAGTAGGTATACCCAAACTTTCCTACTGAAGTCATCAACAATGGAAAGGAAGTAGGAATTCCCTCCATGAGATCTAATCCTCTCAGGTCCCCAAAGGTCAGCATGGAGGTAGTCTAAACAGTTTTTGGATAGGTGTATGCCTTTAGTGAAACTACCTCTATGTTGTTTTCCTAAAACACAGGTTTCACAGAGGTCTATGGTTGTTATTTTATCTTTACCAAATAAACCCTGTTGGCTAAGAATGCTCATACCCTTTTCACTCATATGTCCTAGCCTTAAATGCCACTTATCAGTAGTATTAAGATTTGTGGAGACCAGGGCACTATTCCCCTTCTCAGGATGATAACTGCCACACAAAAGGTACAATCCATTCTTCTTCAGCCCCCTCAACACAATATGGTTATTCTTAAACACATTTATATGACCCATTTTAGCCTTATAGCTACAGCCTGATTCATCTAGTGTACCTAGGGATATTAGGCTTCTCTTTAGTTCAGGGATGTATCTAACATTTGATAACACAATAAGTTTTCCATCATCCAACCTTATGGTTATATTACCTAATCCTAACACTTTGCAAGTGTTGTTATTACCCATATAGACAGTTTCATAGTCACCACCCCTAAAGTCCTGGAACCAATCTCTGTTAGGACTCATGTGGAAATAGCATCCTGAGTCTAACACCCAGTCATGTGTTTGATCTATCCTAGACACAGTGAGAACTTCTGGATCAATAACATTATTATCAGCATAGGCCACATTACCCTCAGTGTTCATGGATTTTTGTTTTCTAATCCAATCATAACAATTCTTTTTTAAATGACCATGCTTATTACAGTGAAAACATTTTCTAGTCCCCCCTTTCTTGTTAAACCCTTTTCCTTTCTTTTTAGTCTTAGACCATGTGTTTCTTTGCATGCCATTAGAGGAACTTCCTAGATCAGTTTTACCCTTTACAAACAGGTTATTCCCACTTCTTTTCAAAACCTTCAACTCTAACTCCCTAGCCTTTAGTCCTGATACTATAAGATCTACACTAGGGACAGTACCAGAGTACTGTAAAGTATTCTTGACTACTTGGTAGTCTTCTGTCAGTGAGTTTAGCAGGATCATTGCCAAACTCGTGTCTCCTAATTCTTGGTCAGTTCCCTTTAGGATTATAATCATTTTCAAGAATTCATCAATATTATCTTCTATTGACTTACTACTGTCCATTCTATATGAAAATAGTGCACCCTTTAAGAAAGCAAGATTTGTGCAGTTTGTAAGGCATACAGAGTTTCGAGTTTACCCCAGAGTGCGATTGGAGCCTCCAATCAGTCCACTTTTCTCAGCACGTTGTCTGCCAAGTTCATCACGATCAAATTGTATGCCTCCTCGTCTATTTCTGCCTTTCTCTTTAACTTGTCTACTGGCTACTTTTCTTTATCCTTTTCGAGTGCAATCCCCACTTTATTATGTGAAAGTATGGCCTTCATCTTCTTCTTCCAAGAATTGAAGTCTATTTTGCCATTGTACTGTGAGATCTCCATGCGGGTTGAACTCATGGTGCTCATAATCAGAAATCGGTTTCGATTCTTGATTATTACTGGTTTGATGATAACCTATAGTCTCCTAAGAACCCTAGAACTCGAAATTTTAGAAAACCCCCAATTTCGATGAAACCCTAGAATTCTAATTTTTTCAGATTTGGATCTCGAATTCACTCTAGGCTCTAAGGTATAAGGCTCTAATACCACTGTTGTAATAACACTCTCACAAACCAAAATTATAAACTATAAAACAAGCATCCACAAAAGACCAAAACACCATAATTTTACCGTGGTTCACCTTTCCAAGAATGGGAAGGCTACGTCCACGTGGAGCTCTGGAAACAGACGAAGCTCACTGCACTAATTGATGAAACAGTTTACAGATTATAGACACAAAACCAAATGATCAAAGAAAAAAACCCGAAATCACCCTATCTGGTAACAAGCAACCTAGGAAACTAACACTCAGATTCCCAGCCCTAAGAGAGACAATACCCCTCTATCAGAATGATAAACCTAATCACTCAACAAGTTACACAGAATCAAGATTTCAGAACAGAAAGATGAACCCTAGCAGAGCAAAACCTAATACACAGTATCAATCGAAGAAACCCTATTGAAAATTGAAGAAACATTTGCTTATATATCGTTGACCAGGATGGACTGAACTCCGCCGTTGGATCTCATGAAGATTGATGGTCCAGATTCATTCTTGAAACGACAGCGTATTGGTTTAAGTAAGACGGCATCGTTTCAGTCTTCACATTTACAAAATGTATAAACTGTAAGTATCTGCCTCCTTTGGGTAAGTTGTCCTCCCTTGAAATTCTTCAAATTTGGGGATTGAAGAGTGTGAAAAGGGTAGGTAATGAGTTTTTGGGAATAGAGAGTGATGCCACATCATCATCTACATCAATTATTGCGTTTCCCAAATTAAAATATCTTGAGTTTGAGGATATGATAGAATGGGTAGAGTGGAACTATATTAGAGTCATGCCATCTCTTCAGACCTTGGAACTTTATACCTGCAGCAAATTGAAGTCTCTACCAAACTACCTCAATCAGATGACAACGTTGAAGAAGGAAATAATGTCTTGTACTCTTCTCAAAGGACAAAGAACCAATAGTTGATCAATTATCAATTTCAACATTGATTTTCCTTAAACCACGAGTAATTTCATCTCTTTTCCCTTTTAATTAGTTTTTAATCAATTCTTTATTTTTATTTTTATTTTTATGGGAATAACCCACATCTTTTAATAGTTAATACCCTAATTATCAATCACCATTTTCGTACTCTTTAATTATCTTCCTAAATCTAATTTAAGGATCCGTCTGCATTACTTTATGTATTTCTGTAATCGTAACAAACTCATTTTGTCTACTGAAACTAATAGGATTTGAACCAATGCCGGGTCTCTGTTAAAGTGAAGAACATAAATACAACATCTCTACTAGAATCAGAAATGGGTGTTCATTTTAAGTTATCTCATGCTAAAGTTTTGTTTTCTTTTCTTTTCAAGCAGCAGCAACCAAACAATCATGCACTAAAGACGTCTTCTGATAGAAATGTTGGATATCAATCACCATTGCGTTGTGAACACTGAAAGGCTCCATCAACTCGCCCTGGTTTTTCCCTTGCAATTGTTATCTAATGCTGTTGGATGTGAACTGGACTACGTAATGTGGCCACAAGGAATCTTATATAATCTAGTATGTATAAGATTATAGAGGGGAGAAGAAGATATTATAGTTATGCCACATCTTCATCAGATACTGTGCTAGATGTTCATTGCCTTGAAGGAACTGAACTGATTCTGGAGCTTTACTTTTTCTCAGGTTCAAAGCATAATATTGTTAATGAAGAAAAGAATCTCGCATACATAATCTAATTAATTCAATATCTTTTTCTAGATGCAGAACTTAGTGACGTCTTGCTGTTGATTGAACCCTGACTCTTCCACCAACTGGCACGAAGATAATACACTTGATGCTTAAGGGCATGTAGCAATGTCCTGATTCAAGAACTTGTCTTTTTCAGGCTGTAGATTACAAATATATAATTGTTAGTATAGAACAAATTTGTTTATATATATATAATCATTTATTTTCAACTCTGTCTCTTCTAACAACTGGCTGCCTTTTGACAGAAGGCTGCAGGAATCTATGGATAAATGCAGAATATTGAATCAGGTACTATGCCAATAATACCACCTCATGCCCTTTTTGCGGGTCGTATAAATGTAAGTGAATTAATAACAGGAAAAAGCTCAAGGATGTATATCAGGCATAAGTTCCCTTGCCACCATTATTTCACCATTGATATTTAGTCCTCTGACAGGTAAGTGAAGGAATTGAAAACTTTCTAGTTTTACAAGGCATGAGATTAATTAATTAAATTCTGGTTTTGTCTATCCACCTCTCTTCCTTTCTGATGGGGCACCAATTTATTACCCGGGGTTCAGTTTTATGGGCATTGGGCTCGCATTGGTATGAACTCTCTTCATAGATTAATAGAACTTAATCTGACACATTGTTGACCACCATATTATTCTTACTATGAAACTGTTTTTTCTTTCTCATGGAGCTAATACCAGAAAACCTGTGTTTTACGCAGATGATTGCATTCATACAAAGTCTTATGATAAGGATGCTCCTTCAACTTCCAAATCACAAAATCAGTACTGCACGTGGCCGAGGCCTAGTTCTCTGAAGCTTATGATCTACTCTAATGTAAAAGGTGATTCTCGCTAGCCTTCACTTAAGCTGCGGGGGCAATGTTGCTTTATAGGTACACATGCAGAAAAGAAATCTAAGAAAGATCTTGCTGGAGTTACTGGGAATTCAAGATCAGCTAATGACAGAAAAGTTTATCCTTTGCTTTATAGGTTGCTTTATAGGTTGCTTCCATTAGGAAGAAGAAAAAGTTAAGTAACTACAAATTATGCGGTCATGAGAGTAGTCAGTATTCGCTGGCATGAAGGAACTGCTCTGTTTCAGTAACTTTAGTCTTTCTCAGGTTCATTATTTGAACTTCATATACTAAATTGCAGCATATTAACATATTGGTTTTTTGTTTGTGCTATAGGATTTGGAACATTGCAGAGTCTCCTCAATTAAAGTGATTAAAATCAGAAATTTTTTCATGGTAAAGATTCCTAACCGCTAGCTTATTTGTCTTCACATAATAACATTGCAAGGTTTTCTCACATTGAGATCTGGTGTCACTGTCTTTGTTTCATTTCATCTCTCAGTTGAAACAATAATCTCTCCAACTTTTGCTACTTATCTCAGTCAACAGTTTTTTTTTTTTTTTTCACATCATTATATGCTTAAATTTGTTAGGGACTGATTTTCTAATAACTTTTTGTTAGAGCGATTATATCATTGTACTGTTTTGATTTATAGTGAAAAATCTCTGTCATACTATTACCGTGGATGTAGCCCACACAGGTAAACCACGTAAATCATTATGTCTCATTTACTTTTATTTGTTTTCTTTATTTTCTTTGCTTATATATGGTTGATTGTTTATCAAGCCAATTGATCTAGGGGCTGACTATGTCGTTTCCTTTTAAAGCTCAAGTTAATGATTATAATAATGAAATTCCAAACCAATACGATACATTTGGGTAAGCAATACAAAAGAAAGTTTAGGAAAGAAATAGTTGAAGTCAACAAATTGGTAGTCACTCAACAATATATATAACAAAGTTTACATACACGAAATCATATTCCTTTATAATACTAATTAAATTCTTGTAATATGAAAGTTAGTATACAAGTATAATATCAATCCATTAGTTAATTTTCATCTTCTTTGTTGAATTATTAAATGGTAATCCAAGTTATGGGGGTAAAGATTTAAAAAAATAAAAAATGATTAAAGGAGCACTGTAAAAAATTAAAAGCAAATTTAAAAAGGTGCACTGCCCATTAAGCTCGGCCCTTGTTATATATATATATATACTATTAATCAACTAAAAATTCATCGTATTTTACCAATCTAATTAATTGAATATAAAATAAATCCGGTAAATATTCATTAAAGCATTAATTTAAATCCATTGTACTTATGTACTTAATTAAATAACATTCATGGTATATAATTACATTAATTTAATTAAATGTAATCAACCAAAAAATTTGCGTGCATAGTTTAATTGAATTAAATGTATTCATTGTACTTGATATTTTTAATTGTATTAAATGTATTCAACGAAATTATATTTTAATACAATCTCATACTCAATCAGCAAATTATTTATTTATGATATGAATGAAACCATGGAGGTATACATGTAAGGTTTTCTAGAAAAGTATTACTTTATTAATTTATCGAAGTTATTAATTTAACCTACTAGCCCAAGTCAAGACCGTAAGAAATTATTATATAATAGATGTTATTAATTTATCGAGTATTAATTTATAGAGGTTATACTGTAGTAAGTTTAAGTGTTTGTTTAATTGCATCTCAAAAGTGCTTATAAAATAAACAACCTTTGGGTGATCTAGTGACTCGATAAAGACTTCTTGGGTGCATTATTCAAGAGGTCCTAAGTTTGAGTCCCTCATCAATTACTAATAGGGGTGACCATTGAAGTTGTTACTCGGTCGAGGATTTTGGATCTCAGAGAATTACTTGAGCTACATGTAAGCTAGCCCAGATGCCCACAGTCTTAAAAAAAAAAAAAAAAAAAAAAAAAAAAAAAAAAAAAAAAAAAAAAAAAAAACAAGTGCTTATAAAATTTAAAATAAGTTATTTTATACATACTGACTTGAACTTCTCTCCATATGCTCTTTTAAACTTATTCAAAGGGTGAAAATTTCAATAATGCCCTGTATATTTTATAATTTAACTTTATTTATTCTGGTTATACTAAATTATGATTTGATCATTTAAGTTTATAAAACCCTTTTACATTTTTCTTACCAAAAAATAATATTTTTTTTCCTAAGAGTTCCACCATGATAAATATACCTTATAAACTTTTCTTCCACAAGTACTAATCAAAGAAGTCAAAATAAACCTAAATCTAACCACCGCTAGGTGGTCAAGTGGTCAACTAGGACTTGGGTTATTACTTAAGAAGTCTTGAGTTTGATTCATCTCATCTTCTAATAGGGGTCCATGAAGCTTTTACCTGAAAGATAGCTTCAGAGTCCTGATAGATTAGTTGAGGTACGCATAAGTTGGCCTGGATACCCCGTTTTATTTATGTTCACATTCCATAACATGATGCTGATTCCTTGCTTTAAAAAGCATTGGGCTTTGAGAATCCATAATTTCCTTGAACCAAAGAAAGCATTTGGTTCTCAGTAAGGGCTACTGTCCACACCTCACTAAGGTTCATTTTTCAAGGTATGAAAAAAATAGCCCTAACGTCCCTTAATATTTGGAGAATGTTTAATACCTTCCCTCACTGGCCTTATTTGAAAAGTTCTCCATTTGGTTTGTTTCATAATTTAATCCTATGGAGTTGATTAATATCAAAACATCTATAGTGTTTTAAAATATTCAAAACACCCATACCATTAAAAAGCCTTTTGAAAATTAGAAAGTCCATTTATCCCTTCTCATTTCTTATCAACTTAAAATATATTTTTATATTCTCTGACCTTATGTTTTTATAAAACATTAAAATGGTATGCTAGCTTCACATAATTTATTATTATTTATTATTTATTTTAATTATTTTGAAGAAAAATACTTAATTCTACCAAAATTCAATTTTTTAATTAATCTTTTTAATAATTAATTAAATGTTTGTTTAATTTTGTATATAAATGTGTCATTTTTAGGAAAATATATAGTAAGTCCAAGGTTTTTTTTGGATTTAGATATTTATGAGTAAGTGATTTAAGAATTTGTGAGTAAGTGATGGAAGAGTAAAATAGACTCTTTATTTAAAATTTCGATGGAATTGTAACATATCACTAACAACTGGGGTGTTTTTATACTTTAAAACTGAAGTGGATGAGGTGAAATTAATCAATCTCATAGGGTGTAAAGGAAGTAGGCCAGATAAAAATTTATCAATTAAGCCCGATGAGGGGAGGTGTCAGATAATTCTTCAAAATTGTGAAGGGAGGTCAGGCTAATTTTTCATACCTTTAGGGTGTGAATAACAAATAGTAAAACCTTAGGGCAGGTGCGGGATAATAATTCTTTCAATAATAATAAATACAATGTCAAAACCTCAAGTACAATTAATTTGATTACCTCTAAATTTCGTATATGAGACATATTTTCTACTCGATGTGGTGAAGGAAAATGTAATGAATGAAACCTTAAAAGAAAATATATGAGACAAATTTTATTAGGAAACGGTGGAAATTATTTATGAAAATTAATTTTAAATTATAAGATGGTGGACCAAGTTCAACTTAAAATTTTAAAATTACATTAGAGATTGGTGTATTGAAAGATTGTCGATAATTAGTAATTATTTATAATAGCAAAATAAGTAAAGGTAGCGACGGGTTGTTGTGCTAGTCTCCACTAAGAATTAGTTGAGGTTGCGTAAGCTGACCGAACATCATGGTTTAAAAAAAAAAAAAAAAAAAAAATTGATTTTATTGGAACCCCCACCTTTTATCTTTTTGGTTTTAAGTTTGAATAAGTCTAATTTTACTGGATTTAGATATTTTGGGTTTGTTTGTTTTTTAACCTTTTTGTTTTTATTATAATAAATTTTTAATTACTACTAAACATAATGTAATAACATAGTTATCATTAATTTTTTATTTTAATTTTCATAATTTGTGTAATAACATAGTTATTTCATATAAAAATATATAATTAAAAACAAACAATCCAACAATAATCGACAATGAAAAAGAAAAAAACAAATATATCGATGAGACTTGTATATTCAGTATGTATAACAGAAACTTAATACTGATCTATACACTAACACAAATCACACACCAAGAACCAAGAAAACAGAAACAAAACAGACACACAACAAGCCACAATTTACCGTGGTTCACTTATCCTTTTATGAAGCTAATCCACGTTGAGCTCGAGAACGGTATGAGCCCACTGCACTTCTATATCAAGAACAATCAAGATTACATAGATTCAACACTCCACAGATCTACAAATACAACTGCAATCAGTCTTACAGTACTCTCTGAATATCCCTAACCGAGAGAAAACACTCTCACCTGATGATTAAACTCCCTAACCACTCGACTGATTTCACCACAATTTGGAATAATAATCTCAACCCTCACACAGAGAAGTGCAAACCAAAAAACCCTAAATAGTGTGTTGTGTTCTAATCGAACGAAAGTGTGTTTATATATGGTTTGACTTCGGGTTGATCCTGGCGTTAGTTCTGGAGTGCATCTGCGGTCTAAATTTGTCCCGGTGAATATGCCTAAAACGACGTGTATTCTTTTTACTCAAAACGACGCTGTTTCAGGCTTCACATTTAACAATCTCCACCTTGGAGCACTGGAAACAGTCTCTTGTGGCTTGCCTGGTACCATCTGTCATAGTCTTTTATCACTCAAGACTACTTGATATACAGCAAGTTCAAGCAGTGCTTGAACTTGTGGAGTGATAATTTTGGTGCCCATATCTGCTGGATTCTCTTCTGTGGGTACCTTCTTCAGTTCAATGATTCCACTTGCTACTGGTCCCTCACGAAGTGATAGCGAACATCCACGTGTTTAGTCTTTCTGATACACTGGATTTTTCTTAGGTGGATCGCACTGACTATCTGAATACACTATCACCTTTCCACCAATTAGTTTTACTTCTGTCAGAATTCCTTTAGCAATAAGGCTTCTTTAACTGCATCAGTTACTACAATGTACTCTTATTCTGTTGAAGACAGTGCTACAATAGGTGAACTGTGATTTCTAGCTTATACAATTTCCACCCAGTGTAAAGAAATATGCAGTAGTTGATTTTCTGGTATCCTTATCACCTGCAAAATCGCATCTACAAAACCAACCAGATCAAGTGCAGTATTCTTTTACAATATTCAAGCCCAACACAAATAGTACTGTATATATTTTAGCATCTATTTTAGAGCAGTCCAATGCTCATACCAGGATTGGGACATAACTGGCTTAACATGGAAATGGCAAAGGCTAGGTCTGGCCTAGTACTAATCATGGCGTACATCAGTGACCCCACAACATTAGCATAAGGGACAAACTCCATTTTCAACAGTTCTGACTCAGTTTTGGGGCATTGGAACTTACTGAGAATAAACTGACTGGTTAGGGGCATTGAGACCAGTTTGGCACCAGCCATGCCAAACTTTGTGACTAGTTTGAGTAGGTAAGATTGTTGTTGCAGTCTAAGTTCACACCTCTTTCTATCCCTGTTTATTTCCATGCCTAAAATTTTCTTGGCATTTCCTAGGTTTTTCATGCTTAATTCAGTGTTTAGTCTTTTCTTCAATTCACTGATCAGGGTTTTTGAC